CCCAAAGCCCCAGTAGATAGTTGTATGTCATAGTTGCACATCCTTCTAGTTGCTGTATGTGGGACGTGGCCTCAGCATGGCCGGAGAAGCAGTGCTTCGGTGGGCATCCGGGATCCGAACCCGGGCCGCCAGCAGCGGAGTGTGAGCACTTAACCGCTAAGCCATGGGGCTGGCCCAGAACATGACTAATTTGAGAAATCCAGAGAGAGAGAGACAGAGAGAGACAGAGACAGAGAGTGAGAGATGCAGGAGGAGCCAGAGGGGAAGGACCCTCCACCACACACACTCCCACCCACCTGCCTGACCTCCCCCTCCACTCACAGCCACAGCAGCTCCAACGTGCCTCCACGTGCAGGTCCTGCAACCTGTTTCAGCTGCTCCCTGGGCTGATTTGTCAAGTTGTTAGCACACAAGGCCCAGGTGGGCATGGATGTGTGGTGGTCCACACTGGGGTTTGGATTTGTTTCCCTATAGTCCTCCCTACTCTCTTTCCTACAGTGTAAGTGGTGAAGGAAACTTCCCACTGGAAGGACCCACGGGAGGCCTTGTTGGGGACAAAGTCAGTGCAAACCCTTGTAGAGATCGAGCCTTTACTGGAGTGGGGAGGATGGTAGATGGCCCTGCGACCCTGCTGACTCAGACAACCATAGGCTGACACACATCACCGCAGGACTGAGCCCTGATGTCCATTTCTCCAACTGTATGCCTGACCCGTCCCTTCCCAGGAGACCTCCTCCTCCCCTCCTGCCCACTTAGGCCACAGGCAGTCTCTGGACTCTCTATCTCCGAGCTCTGTCATTGGGGAGACCAGTCTGACACTCTGGGGTTCAGCCCTGAAATCCTACCTTACCCTGCTCAGGTCAATGCCCAGGGACAAGGGTTACTTGGTAAGTAGGTTTGCTCCATGTTGACACAAGTTGCAGGTGTGTTTGAAAGATGCTTGTTTGCAGATTCCATAAAAGCTATGGAGGAAACCAACACATCCAGGAAACCTGCCCCTCCCAATGCATTTGAAGTGAATCACCCACAGGGGTGACACTCAGGGAGTCAACATATTTTCCACCCCAGGGTCTCTCATCCCCCATATCCTGCTGCTGTCCCACAGGCTGTGGTCCTGGTCGGTCCCTGGAATAGTCCTGTGTGATGGATGTGGAGCCATTCTTGGCACCACAAGCTGAGAATCTACCACAGCTGGGGAAGAATAAGTCACGCTCCATGTTGGTCCTGCCACAGACCTCCTAACATGCACCCTGTTTCCCTGCTAGACCGCAGCTCAGCACCCGCCACGGAGTTCAGATCTCTCTGTCCTGCCTCCCCTGATGGCCAAATGCTTCCTGCTGAACATTCAACTCTGACAGGAGTCCTGTGGTACACCATGGTGCACCTGGCATCAAGACATTAGCTGAAGATGACTTCCAGGGTCCTCACCAGAACCCTGAGATCCATGTCCCTGTCCTGAGCAGAGCCCCATGCTGGAAGCATAGAGTGCAATGTTTCTTTGGGACATAGTCATCTGAGTCCAGCCACTCTCTGACGGTTGTTTTCGTGGTGGGGCTGGTCTGGTCTCTCCCAGCAACATCCCTACAGTTCTGTGGTGGTGGAAACAAAATATGGGGTTGTCAAGACGATCTAAATTATGACCTGTGTCTGCCTCTCCCTAGCAGTGGCTTGGGAAGGAGGTCTAGGCAGTTGGAGTTGGCAAGGAGAAGAGTCAAAGGTCTCAGGGTCCTGGAGATGGCCAGAGAGCAGCTCACCCTTAGTTCTCATGAGGAAGAGGGAACGGGAGGTATTGGCTTCACATCCCTTTGT